TCCTGGGCTCCCCTCCAGCGGGGGGGGGGGGAGGGGGGGGTCTTAGCAGCCTGATCTCTTCCAGCTGTACAAGCAGAATCAAAAAATGTGAAACAAAAAGCCAGCATTCACAAAACCATGGCCATCCCAGCCAGCACCTGGACCCGACCCAGAGTGCTGGGCCTGCACGGAGCACAGAGCCCAGTGCTGCAGCCTGCACGGAGCACAACACTGCAGCCTGTGCAGTGCACAGAGTCCAACATTGCACCCTGCGTAGTGTACGAAGCCCAACATTGCAGCCTTCATGAAGTACAGAGCCCAGCACTACAGCCTGCGCAGTGTACAGAGCCCAACTTTCCAGCCAGTGCAGTGTACAGATCCCAACATTGCAGCCTGCTTGGTGCACAGAGTCCAGCACTGTTGCCTGCACAGTGCACAGAGCCCAGCACTACGGCCTGAGCAGTGCACAGAGCCCAACTCTCCAGCCTGTGCACTGCACAGAGCCAAGGACTGCAGCCTGCACCAAGCACAGAGCCCAGCACTGCACCCTGCTTGGTGCACAGACTCCTCAGTGCCAAGGCCTGTAAGATCACAGACCTCTGAGCACTGAGGCTGGAGGCAACACCCTGTACAACACTCTGGGCCCAGTTCTGCTCACAGGCAGAGAGGCCAGTCAGCCCTTGGCATCCCTGCTAGAAGCACCAAGTACAGGGAGGTGGCAATGGAGATACCTGTCCCATTGGGAACAGACCCAGCCTCCCCCGGCTGTCAGTTCCCACAGCAGCGCCGCCACGGTCAGCAAACTTCTGCCCCTGGCCAGAATGGAGCCCTGTTGCGCTTTGTGCTGCATAGACCCCAACTGAATCAGCCCCTCCATGCGCTGGCGTTGTACAGATACCCAGTGGGGCTGGCCCCCGTCCTGAAGATCTCCGAGAGATCGGCATTAGGGTGGGAAGGAATGGAGCCGGTGGTGGGAAAGGCCTGGCCAGGCTCTGAGCCAGGCTACTGTTACTCTAGCCTGCCCCTGCCGTCTGGGGCTGCGCCTGGGGACCTGGGCTGCGCATTTGCCTCAGCGTGAAATGAGGTGAGGTCTCAGCTACAGCTGGTTGGGGAGCACCCAGCGTTATCCACACGGACCATGCAGCCTGGGGCTGAGAGGCAGTAGATGGGTGTGCAACTATATGTGTGTGTGTACATGCATGTGTGTGTGGGGAGTACAGAGACTGCATATGTGGAGCGCAATGTACAGATGAGCTTGCAGAGGTAGATGACTTGCTAGCGTGTGCATGTGCGTACATGCATATGTGAATACACATGCATATGGGTGTATATACATATGTATACATGTGTACCCGTGCGTGTGTATATATGTGCATGTGTGCACACGTGCATGTATACCTATGCATGTGTGTATACATATGCACACGTGTGTATATGTCTGTGCGTGTATTTGTGAATACGAGTGCATGCGTCTATACATGTGCATGTGGGTGTCTATACATGTGCACGCGTGTGTGCATACATGCGTATGTGGATGTGTGAGATACTGCCTGGACTAGACCTGGTCTTGAACAGGCAGGGCCCTCCATCCAGCCCTCTCCCGCCACTCTCAGCCAGTGAAGGGGCAAGGGAGGCCGTGCTGAGAGCCAGCTCCAGGGCGCGTGGGCATGGGCCAGGCTAATGGGTTTGCCAGAGCGGCTGGGAGCGCCAGCGCGGGGCGGCGGGGACGCGGGCGGGCTTGCTGCAAGCAGGGCTGTATTTCATCTTCTGGGCTGAGCGTGTTCCACAGGGGACGAGGGAGAGGAAGGCTGGAAAAGAAAGGAAAAGATGACAATCCAACCACAGCGCGCTGCGGAAAAGCAGATGTGGAGGCGCGCTGGGGCCGCTTGCAGCCCAGTATCGGGGCTGCAGAGGCAGATCAAAGAGAAATGGAAACCAGAGTCGGGGCGGGGAGGAAGGGAAGGAGGGAGAAGTATGTGCTGGGGGGAGGGGGCAAAAATACAGGATGGAAAAGACTAAACATGAAGCGAGTGGCTGGGCCTGCCTCGCACCCTGGGGCTCGCCTGGGCTGGGTAGGCAGCGCAGCCGCCCAGGCTATGGCTGCAGGGACAGCAGGGCGCCAGAGGGGGGCGGGAGGCAGGAGAGCAAGCCAGCAAGCCCGAGCCCCCACGAGCGCAGTGCCACTGTTGGGCTGTAATTGCAGGCCCGGCTGCCAAGGCCTGAGTAGGAGGCTGGAGCAGGAGTCTCCTTTCACAGAGGCAGGGGCGCCTCCCAGCCTGGAGCCTCCGAGTGGGCTGCATTCAGTGCATCCTGCCCCGCAGCTCAGCTCGGCCTGGCACGGCTCCTGCTGCTCCGGCTCCTGGGGGCCACGTCCTACCCAACAGCTCAGGCTCTGAGCGTGGGGCTTGCGCTGCCCCCAGGGTCCGAAACGTTGCAGGAAAAGTGCAGGAGCTGCCAGCCAGGGACTCGGATCCGGGCATGGGGGCAGGCTGAGCTCCTGGCTCAGGGGGGAACTGTTGCCTCACTGTGAAGCTGGGCTACTGACGGCCTTGCCCACACTGTCCATCATTGCTTCACCTGGCAAGGGAAGTCCCAGCCTGGGCATGCGTCACTGAACTGAGGAGCAGACGAGTCTGGGGACACCCAGCTATGCTGAAGGGTTGGGATCCAGCCTCGTGATGGGCTTTACACTGGGCATGGGGCACTGCTCTCTGCCTCACTGCTGGGGTGCAGCAGCCTCTGGATGCGCCAGCCTGTCTGTACGTGGGGCTGTCTCCTGCCCCTGGAGCCTCAGGCCCTGCCTGGGTCTTCCCTTCAAATGCCCCCTGGATGTTTAGGGCTCCCAGGGGTTCAGGGGCTCACGGGGCCATGCAACCACCATGGGTCAGGGTCAGGGTCAGGGTCTGGGTCGGGCACTGTTGTTCCCATTTCACACAAGGACTTCAAAAGGTCCCAGGTCATGCAGGGAGTCAGAGCTGAACCTGGCTCAGCTGGAGCCCCTTGCACACCCTCCAGGGCAGTGTTACCCGCAGGAGTCCAAGGTACCAGGAAAGCAGAAACATCACCTCCCCGGTGTGTCTGTGAGATTTCCCCAAAGCCCCAGCTTCCAAAGTCCCAGAGGCAGGGAGCTCCCTGCTCCCACAAAGCACTCAAGTCCATGTCCACCCCGTCTGCTGATGGCAGAGAAGAGCCAAAAGTGCAACCTATGTGCGGACAAAGGTGCCAGTGCCTGAAGCTGAGAGCCAGGGGCTTGGTCAGTCCCCTGGGTGTTGTAGCTGGCTGGATGCTGGACTCTGTCCCATAGCCCTGCCAGCCCTGTGCCGCCGTGCCCAGGAAGGTGCCCATCATAGCACTGTCAAGCCTGCCTTGCCCTGGGGGAGGGGGGCAGGCCACAGAGAGGACGGGATCTCCGTTCTTACACAGAAAAAATACTGTCAGACCTGAGACACTTGAGACGGTGCCAGAAGGGCAGCATGCCAGGGCAGCTTCCCGCGCGGGCTGGGGAGTTCTCACACAGCCCTCACCCTCACTCCCGCCCCATTTCCTATGAAAAAAATTGCCCTCTGATCCAAGACCCTGAGCTGTCAGCCTGCCCAACTGCGTCCAGCATGCATCATAAGGGACACTGCAAGAACGAACAAGTTAACAAAGCCCTGCCCAGCCAGCCAATGGGAGTTAGCGCAGAAAACTATTAAAACCGGTCCTCTCCAAGGAGCCGCTACAGAAACTCAGGGAAGGAGCCAGAGGCAGAGATTTCAGCAGAGCCCTGCTCCCAGCTCCCGGGACTGACTGCAGAGAAGGGCAGGCAGGCAGCCTGGAGCACCTTCACCCCGGCTGCTTCTCCCACATCCCAGCACAGAGAAGGAAACAACAGTGCTGAAGTCAAGCCTTGGAAACTTGAAGCCAGCCGTGCCGAGTCCTGCAGGATCCTCAGCCCAGCTGCCTCTGCCCCTGGGATCTCCTGTGCAGGGCTGTGACTTGGAACAAAAGAATTGGGAAGAGGCGGCACCACCGGCAAGCAGCCGGCTCCCTGTCACCCGGCTACAGGCGCACTCAGCCGTGCCCAGCTGGCAGAGACTGCTCCTCCTGGTAGGGGAGACGCTGTGGGCACCCAGGTGCTGCACCCCAGGGCCCAGAGGATGGTAGCTGGAGCAGGTCTCCTGTAGCTGAGTCCCGAGGGGAGTTGATTCCTTTCAGCTACCGTCCAACCTTGCTACGTCCAGTGCTCCAGGGCTTGGCCCCTTGGGGATAAAACCACTGCATTTGTTTTACTATCCACTAACACCACCTGTGCCCTTTGCCCTGCCATGATGAGCCCGGCCCCCGCATTGTGGCTCCTAACTATGGCCACCTGCTGCCTCCTTGTCCTGGCATCCTGGGAGTACGCCCGGGCCGGCGTCTACAAGGAGGAGGTCGTGTTTCTGGAGAGACTAAACAGCAGCGCCAGCCCCACTGGCATGGATGAGATGGACATGGCTGGGAACGGGGTGGGCAGTGGCAGCCCCAACCAGCAGCTCCTCTACCGCCTCCGGGTCTTCGGAGAGGAGCTGGTGCTGGCACTGGAGCGGGACCCCAGCTTCCTGTCCAAGGACCTGACCGTGCAGTACCTGGGCCGAGGCGGGCAGGCGACTGACAGCGCTGTGGAGCCTGGGAACTACTTCACCGGGACGGTGAACTCCGATCCCGAGTCTATCGCAGCCGTGCACTTCGACGGGACGTCGCTGCTGGGTGTGCTGAAGTACCATGGCGCCGAGTACCACGTGCAGCCCCTGGACGGCGGCGTGCCCAATGCAGCGGGAGGGGCCAGTGCCCATGTGGTGAAGAAGAAGATGCCAGAAAAAGCCAGCGGCCCCATGTGCAGCGTGGGAGTCCAGGCCCCGGGCACCCCTCTGGCCCACCAGCCCCAGCCCCTGGAGCGTCCGGCATCCGCGAGGAGAGCAAAGGTAGAGGCATGCCCATGCAGGCGTTGAGCAGGGGGAGGGCATCACTGCGTGGCCCAGTGGCCCCGCCTCTCCTGGCAGCAGGTCCCTGACGTGGCGGCCAGGCCCCGCTGCTTAGCCTACTGACCCAGTTCCCCATCCCTACGGCTTCAGGAGATCTGCACAGGGCGATCCCAGCCCCACCCCAGCCTGCCCCTGCCCCACTGGGGAGGAGCTCTGAAGTGGGCCAGGCTGTGGGGACAACCCCTGCCCTGCCACCCCTGCCCAGGTCTCCTGAGGTCACCAGCTGGTTTGTTTCGTGGCCGCTTCCCACCCAGCCCAGCCCTGTCCAGCTGGGAGGAGGGCTCCTGGAGCTGCCTTGCGGGGAGGATGGTGGTGCAGATTTGCCCTGGCTCTGGGCTGCTCCCCAGCACTTACTGTTGGAGGTGATGCACGGGCTTTTTCTGCCCCATCAGTGCCCCCTCACAGGGCTCCAACCCCGTGGAAATGCTAGGCATCTGGGACTAGTGGTTAGAGCAGAGCCTGGCGTCAGGACACCGGGGTGCTCCTGCTGCTTTTGGTGGGAGTGTGGGAGAGGGGGTGCAGGCAATCAGGACACCTGGGCTCTTGTCCCAGCTCCACCTGCAATTTGATGGCCCAGGGCCAGTCTGCTGCTGGAACCACCCTGGGCAGAGCAGGGCACTGGGCTGTGCCGCCAGCACCCCCCACCCCGGTGCCCTTGCACCATGCCCAGCACAACTCAGTGCCCGGCACAAGAGCTCCAGCTCATCCCCAGCCTCTGCCCACAGTCAGGACTCACTACCCCCAGCACAGGGGTGCTCTGGCTCTGCCGGAAGGGCTCTTCCAGGATGCCTCAGCATCACCAGGGTCAGGCCACATAGCTGATGAGCAGGAGGGTGAGGTCTGGACTTCTGGGTTCTCTGCCTTGCGGGCATGGGAGTCCCGCACAGAGCACTGCAAGGCTGGGAGTGGCTTCCCCTGAGTCACCCAGCTGGGGGCCCCTGATGGGCTGCAGCTGGGCATGAGGGACACTAGAGGCATGAGGGAGTGCAGGGCACGAGGGCAGTGGAGCACCTGGCAGTGCCTCACCCATGCCTGACGCTGTCTCTCCCACCCACAGCGCTTCGCCTCGGTCATGCGCTATGTGGAAATGCTGGTGGTGGCGGATGAGAAGATGGCGCAGTTTCACGGCGCGGGGCTGGAGCGGTACCTCCTCACTGTCATGGCAGCTGCCGCCAAGTTCTTCCGGCACCCAAGTCTGAGCAACCCAGTCAACCTGGTGGTGACACGGCTAGTGGTGCTGGGCCAGGCTGAGGACGGGCCCTCCATCACCAGCAACGCTGCCCAAACCCTGCGCAACTTCTGCAAGTGGCAGCAGGGACTCAACAAGGCAGACGATGCCGACCCTGAGCACTTTGACACAGCCGTGCTCTTCACCCGCCAGGTACTGCACCTGCACCCTGGGCATCCAGCAGGTTGGGGGGAGGCCCACGAGGATGTGGGGAGTACTGGATGCATGATTTGTCCGGTCAGGGCCGTGCCCCCAGCTCCCCACTGGGTTTGTGTGTGGTTCACAGCAGGGGTAGGGGTGGCGTGAGTCCAGGCTGGGTCCCCCCCACCCATCATATGCACCCAGCAGCCATAGCATGTGATCCTCTCCCACAGGACCTGTGCGGCATCTCCACCTGCGACACACTGGGCATGGCAGACGTGGGAACCGTGTGCGACCCAGCCCGCAGCTGCTCCATCGTGGAGGATGATGGCTTGCAGTCAGCCTTCACCGCGGCCCACGAACTCGGTAAGTGCTGCTGGGACTGTGGGAAGTGAGGGCAACCGGCCCACTCTACGGGTGCCCAGCACCCTGCCCGGCATGGGGACCTTGGGCTGAGAGTGCTGCTGGGATGGCAACCCCACTGCACAGCATCATCCCCGAGCTCCCCCACTGCTCCAGCCCTTCCTTATGTGGCTCCTGGCTGCAATGGGCCCATGCCCCTCCCTTGCTGCTCCAGCCCCCGCCAGACCCATGCCTGGGGCAGGGGCCCATGAGCTGACCCTGGTCTCTCCCTCCCCTCCCTGGTGCAGGCCATGTGTTCAACATGCTTCATGACAACTCCAAGCCCTGTGAGGAGCTGAACGGCCATAGTAGCAGCTCCCGTCACATGATGGCACCTGTGATGTCCTACGTGGACCCAGAAGAGATGTGGTCGCCGTGCAGTGCCCGCTTCATCACTGACTTCCTCGACAATGGCCATGGTGAGGACACCTGCAGAGCCAGTGACACCACAGGCCAGTGACTAGGGGCAGCCAGGGCTCCCCTGGACAGGTCTGCAGCCAGGGCCATTCCAGACCAGCCCTGCCCCAGGGTCTGCATCCAGCTGGAGCTGGACCAGGCCCCTCATGTGCCAACCTGTTCCCTTCTCTTAGGCCACTGCCTCCTGGACAGGCCACGTGAGCCCCTGCACCTGCCACCTGCCCTCCCAGGCAACGACTACAATGCTGACCGGCAATGCCAACTGACTTTCGGGTCAGACTCACGCCACTGCCCCAAACTGCACCCACCCTGCTCCTCCCTGTGGTGCACGGGCCGCATCAATGGGCACTTCATGTGCCAGACCAAGCACTTCCCCTGGGCTGATGGCACCCCCTGTGCCGAGGGCAAGACCTGCATGAATGGTCGCTGCATCAGCAAGATTGAGATGAGGGCCTTCAAGGTGAGTGCTGGCCAGAGCCCAGTGAGGGTGGGGTGCACAGGGCAAAGGCCATGGGCTCCCCTTCCTCCTGCTGCAGGGGGTGGCTGGAGTGGGGAGGGGCAGGCAGGAGCCAGGGATGGGGGCAGGGAGTGTGGCGGGGTGGGGAGCTTGGAGAGCCACAGGGTGTGGGAGTGGAGGGTGTGAACTGGTGCTGGGAATGAAGGAGACATACTTCTTTCCCATCTCCTTTTCCCCACTGCATCTCCCTCTCTCTGCCAGCTGCACTAGGGTGCTCCCTGGCTGCAGCATGGCACGTGGCGACTGGCCTGGGGTGCCCCCGGCTGCACATGGAAGCTGGCCCAGCTTCCTGCCCCGCTCTCACCTGCTCCATAATCTCTTCTGCAGACTCCTGTCAATGGTCGCTGGGGGCCCTGGGGCCTGTGGGGCAAGTGCTCGCGGACCTGCGGCGGGGGTGTGCAGTACTCCATCCGTGAGTGCAACAAGCCCGTCCCCCGCAATGGCGGCAAGTACTGCGAGGGCGAGCGCACCAAGTACCGCTCCTGCAACGTGCAGGGCTGCCCAGGGGGCACTGGTGAGTGAGGCTGGGGCTGGGAGCAGGGCTCGGACAGCCGGGGGTCAGGGGAAGCAGCCAGGGGGAGACTGGGGAGGCAGCAATGCCCACTCCCTACTGACCCCAAAGGCCTCTCAGACCAGAGCCATGAACTCCAGAGCCTGTCCCCCACCCGGGGACCCTCCTCAGCCATGGGCTCTGGCCGGCAGGCACCAGCCCCAGGAGCCCCGGGACAGGCCCTTGCACACCGGCTGAGTCCCTTGTTGAGCCATAGCTGCAGATGCTCCCACTACTATGAGGGGGCTCCCTCCTGCCTGGAGCTGCCCTGAGCTGAGCTCCCCCAGCTGGGTGAGGGGCTGGGTGGGCTGAAGGAGTCCACATGGAGGGGGCCAGGTGGCACTGCCATGAGGGGAGCCTGCTGCCTGAGCCGAGGCTGACCCCATGTCTCTCCTGCAGCCCTCTCCTACCGAGAGCAGCAATGTGCCATCTACAACAACCGCCCAGATATGTTCAAGAGCCTCCCTGCCCCCATGGACTGGGTGCCCCGCTACAGCGGTGTGGCTGAGAAGGACCAGTGCAAGCTAACCTGCCAGTCCCAGGCACTGGGCTACTACTACGTGCTGGAGCCACGGGTAAGTCTGCTCCCCCATCTCATGTGCTGTGCTGCCAGTGTATGCCTATGGCATGTGGCATGGGCAGCCAGTGGGTGGGGCAGGAGTGCGGGCATGTTCCAGGCTCACCATGCATGTGTGTGTGTGTGTGTGTGTGCACAGGTGGCTGACGGCACGCCCTGCTCACCTGACAGCACCTCGGTGTGCGTGCAAGGCCGCTGCATCAACACTGGCTGTGACCGCATCATCGGCTCCAAGAAGAAGTTTGACAAGTGCATGGTGTGCGGGGGCGATGACAGCAGCTGCACCAAGACCTATGGCAAATTCACCAAGCCCCGGTGAGTGTCCCCTCCCATACAACCCATGGGAGAAACCAGGGAGGGGGTGGCCCCTCATGCAGCAGCAACGCAGGGACTGGGGACCAGCCAGGCCCTGGCTTCTCTGGGGTCAAAGGAAGGAGGGCTCAGCCTTGGGGACAGATGCAACAGGGCTAGGCATGGTCCAGAATGGGCAGGAGCCACCAGCTATCCCAGCCCTGCCCCCCAGCTCTGCTGATGCCCTTCAGCTGGGACTCAGGCTGGGACCCCCAGTCCTCCCCCTCCTTGTGCAGAAGCAGCATCCTCCTAGTGCAGAAACTCCACCAGGCTGCTGGAGGCCTAACAAGACTGAGCTGTGCCCCACTCAGTCTCCTGAGACAGTGCCCTTGCCCTCATCCTATGCCAGGCAGCCCCCCTCACCTCCCCTGACCCAGCTGGTTTCCTGATGCCTCTGCCCCTCTGCCTTCCAGCTATGGGTACAACAATGTTGTCACCATCCCGGCTGGAGCCACGCATATCAGGATCAACCAGACCAGTGGCTCAGGCACAGCCAGTGATGGCATCTACTTGGCGCTACGGAAGCAGGACGGCAGCTATGCCCTGAATGGGAACTACGTGCTGGTGCCCTCTGAGATGGACGTACGCCTGCCAGGTGGCATAAGCCTGCGCTACAGCGGTGCCACCAAGAACATGGAGACCATCATGGGAAATGGGCCACTCCAGGAGCCCCTCATGCTGCAGGCCCTGGTGGTGAGCGACCAGCGGGCTCCACGCCTCAGGTACACCTTTTTTGAGCCCAAGCAGCGGAGATTGTCATCCAAGGAGTGGCTCAGACAGAAGGATCAGATCCTGGAGGTCCTGAGGAGCAGGCGTCGCTACCAGTAGCTTCCAGTGCCCCCAGCCTTGGACCCCCCCCATTGCGGGGAGCAGCCACTTGTGCTCCCTGTGCACCTGGGTTGGTGGGACTCAGAGGAAGCCGCCTGGCCTGGGAGCCCCACTCACTGTTACGGACAAGCTGGGGCCCTGAAGCCCTGGACAGCTGCAAGGCAGCTCTGCTCTCCCAGCTGCCCAAGACCCAGTGACTGCACAGCAGAGACCACGGGGGGACGCAGGCCCAGCTCACTGCTGGGGACTGTCAGCTCCATCCAGCCCTACAGACTGGGACCAGCCATCCAAGGACAGCTCAATGGGTGAGGCAGGAGCCTCTACCCACAGCCGGCCTGGAGCCCCTCTGCACATGGCCAAAAGGAACTGTGCACTGGTCTCTATTTATTTGGTTATTTATTGCTGGCCAGAAGCAGGACTGGGTGCCGCCCTGGGTCCAACACTGCTGCTTCTCCCTGTGGGCCGGTGAGACTAGGACCTGCTCTGGGCACTGCCAGGCCTTGGCCAGCACCGGCTGCGAAGCACGTGTGAAACAACGTCTACCTCAGCCGCAGCACCTCCAGCCTGCCAGCCCCCCATGATCAGGGCCCTGGCTCCTGGCAGCTCCTAGTAGCCCCCCCACTCCCCCACTGGAGCTGGGTCTCATGGGGTTCTCCAATGTCGGTCCCGACTGGCACGGGGCAAATGCCTCCCTCGGGGCAGTGAGGGCTGCATAGGCAGGGCACATGGAGCTGCCTGCAGCCTCGTGGGGCTCCCTTCACTCCCGCTGCACCCTGGCCTGGCCCTGGTGTCCCTGGCACCAGGAGCAGCAAAGTCCTGGTGCTGCAGGTCCCGGACCCCACCAAACCCTGCCACTCTCAGGCCAGGGCAGGACGGGGGCTGGGGCCACAGGGAGGGTTGCAGTCTGGAAAACTGGGATGAGGTCCAGCAAGGGCGGGAGAAGAGCTCCGGAGACCGTGCGGTCTGGGGGGTGCAGCCAGGTGCTGCTCCAGCTCTGGGGGGAAGCGATGCCCAATGGTGGGAGCTGCTGGTGGCCGCTGGTGCTGGCACCGCCCTCCAGGAGTGGGCAGGTGTGCAGTGCGGGGGGAAGTAACCACTATGTCAAATGCTTCTCAGTCTGGTGGATGGGGGGGAGCGGGGAGGGGGGAAGGGAGGGGCAGGACTCTGTGCCCTGGGCCGGTCTCAGGGCTGGGCTCTGGCCATGGGAGCGGGCAAAGGGGGATGCAATGAGCCACCCCTGCCCTGTGGGCTGTCATTGTTTCCGGGGGGAGGGGGGAGCATTGCTTCCTGCCCCCACTCCCTCTTCCCCCACCACAGCGCAGCAAGTCTGGGGTGCATAATTTAAGAGGTTTATTTAACACGACCCTGCGGCAGCGCTGGCCGCGCCCCTGCCACCGCGTGGCGATGGTTTTCTTCTTTTTGTAATAAAGCCCTGCCGGGTTATTTAAGGCTATTTATACAACACACTCGAGTGCTGCCTCTTTGTGGGCTCGGGGCTGCTCCCCAATGACAGTCGTGCGGGGAGGGTGGAGCTGGGAGCCCCAGTCCCAACCCCGCTGGGCTGTGACTCCTGCCCTGCTCCAGACATACCTGGAAGCCGTGTGTGCAGGGAGGCTGCTTGCCGCCTGGATGCTGGGCCTGGGGGAAGCTGGGGGGAGTGGGCAAGTGGGGAGGGATGACTGGCCGCGGCCAGCAGTTGGTCCCAGATGGACCCTAGTCCCCCAAGCCCTGTGGGGGTGGGTGCAACTTGCTACCCCGAGACTAGCAGCACCACTACCCAGGGCCATGTGCCACAGCGGAGTAAGGTGTCCCGCAGCAGCCCAGGCAGGCAGCCACAGCCAGGGAGGGGATGCCACGTTCCCCAGACACTCAGTGGGGAGCTAGCAGAGCCCATGCTCCATGTGGGGGCTGAGCAAACTGGGACCTGGCTCCACGGGCTGCTGCAAGCCAGGAAATGGGGACAGAGGCAGGATCACAGAGCAGTGGGGCTGGAAGGGACCTCCAGGTCACATCACCTCTGATCCTCCACCTGGGGCAGGATCAGCCCTGCCCGAACCAGCCCAGTTAATGTTATCTAAACTCTACATACGACTACTGCCAGCCGTGATGACGCAGACCTAGCACCGACCCTGCCACAGGTGCAGCAGGGAAACCAGGACAGCCAGCGTCCTGCTTCTATGAAATGCTGTCAATAAACACTCGAGAGACACCAGGCAGGGGCTGTGCCCCCGCTACAGGGGAAGGCAACCCCCCCCACCCCCCCCAGTCCATACCAATAGGAACAGGAGGGGAAATTCCTTCGTGACCCCAAATAGTCTGAGCCTGAGCAGAGGGGCAAGTCCCTTTAGCCAACACCTTCCGGCTTTCGGCCCAGCAGGAGCCTTGGCACAGCACAGTCCCCCATCCCCAGCCTGGGCTGCAGTCAACACCCAGTCCTCTTAAAAATCCCCCAACACGTGTTACAGCAAAGTGTGGGGCAGGACAGGGACAACCAGCAAAGCCTGGGATATCCCCATGCTAGCACACAGGCATCGCTACACCTAGATCATCCCTGACCAGTGGCTGTACGACCTCTTCAATCCCTGGCCTCTGGCCCCACATTGCCCTAGCTGGGGGTGGGGGGGCGGCCTCAGGGCACCGGGTGCAGCAAACTCATCGTGCGCAGACACAGAGCGCAGCATCCCGGAGCAGAGCCACAGGTGGGTGCAGCCTGGCACGTTACAGCAGCGGAGGGCAGCAGCCACAGGCATCGACTTGGGCAGGAGGAGGGAGGGAGCAAAAGGTTATCAGCTGCTGCCACAGGCACAGAATCCAGCTGGCAGCCAAACAGCAGCCAGCCAGCATGGCTGCCCCAGGGCTTGGTAGGCACTGGCACAAAGCAAACACTCTCCGGGATCAAGGAGGGGAGGCAGCAGCACCTGCAAGACTTCATGGCTTTGTCACTGGGCCAGACCTGGGGTCAAAGGGGCCCACGCCAGCGCTGCAGGGGGACGGGCAGTGCCTGCTGCCCACAGCCCTGCCCAGCAGTGAGCAGCACAGCCCTGGGCCAGGCTTCCTGGCAGCTGCACGCCCAGGACCCCTACTGCGCTTGATGGCACTGGAAGCAGCACCAGCAGCCCCCGCCCAAGGGGCCCACACAGACCTGGGGCCCAGCCCCGCAGCCAGGGGAGCCTGGAGGTACGGCTCTGTCAGGCCCTGAAACGGCTTCTCCCAGCACCAGACCCTGTGGGTGCACACCCCCTGCCCCCAGCACGGACCCCTGGCTCTTCCCAGCCCAGCTGGCAGCCCGGCTAGGGCAGGAGGAAGGATGCTCTTTCCTTTTGCCAGACAGATTTACAGGGGATGGGGTGACCCAGGGACTGCTCCCCACCTGCTCATTCCCTGAGAGCCACTCATGCCCTGTTCCCCAGGGGCACCAAACACACTGCAGCAGGGACCTCACATGGAAGGGGCTGGGGGCATGGGGCCAGCTGCAGTGTTGGGGTCAGGCCCTCCCTAGCATGAACTGGGATGCTGGGTGTCTGATCCCCCCCATGGCAGTGTGACAGAGATGAAGCCAAGTGGCCCCAGGGCTACAGAGGCCTGGGTACACAGGGACCACCAACCTGAGCTGCCTGACTGATAGCATGCATGGGCCCCTGTCCAGCTCCCCTGCCCAGCAGAGGGGAGCTCACACCAGGTCACTGCACACATCTCCCACCAAGGAAGAGACTTTATTAATGCAGCTCTCCTCCGTGGTGACTTGTAACACACAGGGGAGGCAGGACTCCAGCCAACCCCAGTATGGGGTCCCAGCAGCCTCAAGAAGTTGCAGTCTCCTTCCCTGGAGGCTTCCGAGGAGGCTGGTCCATCTGGGACCAGAATGGTGGGTCTGGGGTTCAGCCACTCTCTCCAGGTCTCCCAGTGATGCTCATGGGCCAGGGGCTACTTGAACAGGGCCCTGGGGGAGGCGCCAGGCAGAGGGGAGGGCATTGCCAGGGATGCAGGTGCTTGCAGGGAGCAGGGGCCAGGCTGTGCTACCAGCCACCCTGGAGAGTGGAGACAGCCAGCTGCCCTGCATGCTCCCACAGGGGAAGGAGCAGCTGGGCTGGGGCACCAGCCCCAGGTCACCTCAAATGAGGGAGCACGGCGGTCAACCCAGAACCAAGCCAGCACGAACTCGCAGAATCCAGCAGGCTCTACCACAGTGGCACAGCTCAGTCCTGCACCCGCAGGTGGTGGGGAGGCCCTGCCATCAGGAAACCCCAGGCCACTGGGCAGCTACTCCAGGCAGCCTTGACCACTCTGACACCTGACAGTACCCCAGACCCCATGCCCCGCTTCCCAGCCGAGCGAGGAGCATGCCAGAGGGGCCAGCTGCAATAGTGCAGGGCAAGGGAAGGGTTCCTACCTTTTGCCTGAGCTGTCCTGACACCCACTGCCCTCAGCACCTGGGCCAGCAGCCTGTTCACCAGCCTCGCTGCGTGTGGGAGAGGTGGGCACTGCCTGTGCCTGGCAGGAGCAGGATCCCTGCAGGCAGCCTCAGCATAGCAGCATGCCCACCCCGCTCCAGTGGAAGGGTTTGACCTGTGGTGCCTGGGGCCAGTGTCCAACCAGACTGCCCAGGGTGGTCTGGGTGGGAAGTTGGGGCAGTGACAGCCTAGGTCACAAGCAGTGCTGCGCAAGGGCTGCACCTGCTCTGGGGGCCACACAGCAGATTAACAGGGACCAGGGATACTGCCCTGCCTCATTCCATTGTGCTCCAAGGGCTGGGCCCCTGCCACCTGGGCAGTCAGCATGACACCCTTCCCTGGCAAATGGGAGGGCTAGTTCCCGGGGACAAGCCACATCATCCTCTCCAGCCCCCCTTACTTGGGGGAGCTTCTTTGCCTTCTACCTTCACATCACAATTAGCCACAGTGCCTGTCTGTGGCTGGCTGCCATGCTCTGTGCTCCCACCAGTGTCTCCCATGGGCTTGTGGGGCTCCTTGTTCTGTTTGTGTAGTACTTGGCACCAGCACCTCGAGTACATGATGGAGGCTCCCAGGCAACAATTAACACTGATCGGACTGCAAAGAGCACAGCAGGGGAGCAGATGAGCATGTCCTCATGGCAGTGTGGAAAGGGCCACCACTGCAGAAGAGGCACTCCAGAGCCAACAGAGACTGTCGGCAGCCCTGATGCTATGGGGAGTCCAGCACAGAGGCTGGAGAGTGCACCAGCTCTCAGTTGCTGCTTCCCAAGGAAGGCAGGTGCCCAGCCAGCACCCCCGCTGATATGTCTGGCTTCGGTGCACCTGCCTAGTGCAAGGCCACTCTCGGGCCAGCTCTGCAAAGCCAACAGAAACAGATGAATGTCATCCGTCTCCCTGGGGCCACAGGCAAGAGGCAGCAGCTGCCCAGGTGATGGCAGGGCAAAGGAACTGCTGCAGCCAGGAGGTCATACATCATAGTTGGGCAGGTAGCTGTAGGACGGGCCCCCACCTGAGGGTGGGCTGCAGTTACAGGGGAAAAACCAGCAGATCACAAAGCCTGAAAGAAAAGAGGGTAAGCGGTCAGGGGGCATGGAGCTGGGATACTGCCCTGTGCACAGCAGGGACATGCTCTGATCCACGCTCAGGCCTTGCCTGCCAAGTTTGAGGTGGGGCAACTCAGGGACAGGACCTGGTACCACCCCAGAGGCCCATCACCATGGGGGCAACAGGACAGGCTCCCTGTCCTGGACCAAGCCTGACTCACAGCCTGGCTCTCATGGGCAGCGCTTCCCCTGACATTGTGCCCATGTTTCCTCCCACAGGAACCACCCCCAGTTCTCACAGCCCGTGTGCTCCAGGGAGCCTGGCCTGGCCCCAGCCCCGGCCCACCTCGCCCGAACACCTCCCGCAACAGGGCAATCTTGGGCTTCCGTGTGTGTGCCACCTCCCGGTTCGCCTCCTTCAGTAGCCGGTTCCTCAGCTGCTCGATCGGGGTCTCATCTGTGATGATGGAGACCACCTGGGGAACAAAGAAATGAGCAGCAGTTGCTGCCGTCTGGACCCACAACTACTGTCCCAGCCAGGGGCACAGCAGGGCAGAAGTGCTGGCTGGGGAAGGGCTCTCATCAAGTCCAGGCCCTGGCCATGGTCCTGGCAGCAGGAGGTGCTGCACTACCCAGCAGCCTGGGCAGTCAGCTGCAGGGCCCCTTGCAGACTAACCTGGTCGTAGAATATGACTGTGACGAAGAGGCCAAAGAGGACGGACTCCACCAGTAGGATGATGCAGTGGGCCCTGGAAGGGAGGGGAGCAGGTAAGCTGTTGGCAGCATTTGGCCCAGCCAGAGGCTCTCAGGGGAGGGCCCAGGGTGAGACACCCAGGACTCTGGACCAGAATTGCCCAGCCCTGCACCATGGATGCTGGGTGGCCTCTGTCAAGGGTGGCCAAGACAGCCCGAGCCCCTTGCTGCTACCGGCTGCTCTCCCACCCATGGGGCAGCAGGCCAATGACTTGGGAGCCTTGCCCTGGCCTCAGCCCCCTCCCATCCTGGCTGGTGTCTGTCACCAAGCAGCAGCAGCTGGGGTCGGAGGCTGTGTCACAGCCACCTGCACTCACATGTGGACGTGGCTGTTTGAGGCGCCTCCATCTGCTTCTGCCACGTTCTCTGACAATCCCTTGTCTGCTGGCCACAGCCAGGTGGTCAGCACCAGCCCCATGGCATAGAGGCTGGCCAGCCCTGGGACAGAGTGAGGAGTTAGCACAAGCCAGACTGCACATGCAGCAGAGCCCCCCACTCCCAGCCACGCCAGATCCAGGGTAAAGCTCCTTCCTCACCCCACGTCTGGTGACTGGTCTGACTCTGAGCGGAGGAGCAAAATCCTGCAGCCAGGGACCTCTGTATGTCCTGTGCCAGCAACAGCATCAGTGCACCCCAGTGACTGCCCCCAGCTGGAGCTGTGGCTAATGGTCTGGGGCTTCAGAAGAAGACAACCTGCCCCTCCTACCCCCTTCCCAAGCTAGCAGCAGTCACAGGAGGGGGAAAACACCTCATTTCTGGTCTCAACAGGCCAGTCCAAGCTTCCCTAGATCTCCCTGTGTAATACTTTGGTCCTCTTCCATGCCCCCAAAGCAGCAGCACCCACAAAGGTCACAAGGACACTTCTACCACTAGCATCAAGGTCGCTTACGAAACTATTAAACAGGAAAGTATCCCTGAGGACACCACTGGAAACAAGCCCCAGGTGCCCATCAAGCCCACCTCAAGATCATGGCTGGATCGTCTCCAGCCTAGCCTATCGTCTCCAGCCTAGCCAAACATTTCCCCATGACACCTGGCATCCAAAACCTGATTGGACCTGGATAAAGGACCCATGCTCCTTATTCATGTGGGCGCAAATAACATGGCCTGGAGCAATCCCAGGCGGGTCATAAATTACTTCAGGACTCTAGCCACAGGGCTCAAAGGGTTGGGGGTGTGGCAGAAAGGCCACCGTCTGTGTCCCTCTCCAGAGACCTGTCTCTGCCAGCGTGAGAGGCTGGTGTTGAATCCCTCAGGGTGGGGGATCTCCCTCCCTGCCTACATGACAACAGCCTGGTGCCTGGGAGGCGAATGCTCTGGTACCTGGGGAGGGGGAGGGAAAAGCCCTGCTCACCAGCCCAGGTGACCCGTGATGCTTTTTAAATTGGTTGGCTAGTGGCCAGCACCGGCAGTTTCGATTGGACCAGGCTGCTGACTGGGCCAGGAAGAAGGGCAGCCATTAGCCATGCGGTCATCCAGGTGAATCTGAACCTGGCTCTCTCCTCATCACCGCATGCTGCAAGAGTGCCCTGCCTCCAGAGGAAACAACAACCACCTCTGGATGATGCGAGTGAGTAACCTACTAGAGATCCGATTAGATATTTAGCTTCAGTAACTCAGATGCGTGTTTAAACGGCTACCTCAGCCACCCTGGTTTGCTCTATGGGATTCCTTTGATATTCCTATAAGATTTCATGATACTGCTCTACCTTTTACCCTGTTTCCGCCCTACCCCTGTAATCAATAAAGTTCTCCTTTGTGACCGGTGTAGAGACTTATTGAGGGGTGGGTCTAAATTATGCCAAGGAGGCCCCTTAGGTCGGTGGACTAAGGGAGGCTTCCTAATAAGCCCCTGACTTGGGGAAGTGCCCCAAGTGCTTGTATTGGGTCTAGTACCCATTGGACGATCAGGCCTGTGTTTTCCAAGGTGCACAGAGCCAGAAGTGAGTCCAGAGCCTTGGATGGTGGCAGCGGGAACCCCAGGCTAGCGGGTGTGCTCCAGGGAAGGGGTCGGCC